AATGGCTAGGGTGGCTTTGTTTACAAAATTTTGTAGGGCCATATCGGACCTGACCCTCTGGGAGAGTGTATTGTGATCAACCATAAAAAGCCTATATTATATTAAGATATAAACCATTAGCATTTTCACCTCAGTTTTCTCAAGTTTTAAACTCCAGCATTGAGCAAGTTAAGCTTGCAAATCATGTTTCTCTTGTAGATCTTCAAATGGCTGCAAGAAAAAACAAAGAACAAAAAAAAAATGTCAATAAACATAGCCACGCAGGATACTACCACAGTATATAGCAACTTAGGTTTGAGAATATTTAAATCCCACATACATTTCATCTGCTCTATACGCTCAACCATGGCCTCGGACAAGTAAGAAACTAATGCCAAGATGAACTACTAAACTCACATGGATGTGGTAGAAATGAGAAACATATAAATTTGGAAGGGCTTCAAAACTCAGAAATGACAAAAAGCGCTTCTAATCTAAAATCAATAACAACAAACCACACTTATATCATTTGCCACAATAGATAATAAAGAATGAATGACATAGAGAGGCATCCCCTCTATCTCGAAAGTCACTTCTTGGCCATATCAAGCTTGACCCTTGTATTTTTTTCTTTTTTTAAAACAAAAATTCCATTTGGTGTGGCTTCACCTGGCCCAATCCAAGCCACCTAAAAAGGGCCCTAGCCTGGGTCCTGGCCACGGGCTCAGCTAGGCTAGGGCCAGGGTTTACCCTGCTCAAACCCAGCCTATTCTGATCCTTAGTCGTGATCAATCTCATTTGGGAGAGAATAAAACAAAAAAATTGACAACAAAAAGAAGGAAGGTTGAGAGAAAAATGCCCTCTCTCAAAGGTCTGCAAGGGAATCCACCCCCAAAACAATCACTTTTAATAGACTAATTTTATTCAATTTATAAACTGATTTACAATGAAAAGAGATGTCCCTTTAAATAGACTAAAATAAGATAACTAATAAAAAGCTTCTCTCTACACCTATCCCTATTTTCTCTCTCTTATATTCATGGGCTTCTAGATAACCACATTTTCCCTCTCATGTTTTACTCAAAAAAAACCTCCTAAGTTGGTTATTGTTGATAAAGATAAACTCTCTTCTAAATTTACCCTTATCCTAATTATATCCCTCAAACTAACCCAATCGATACAAGATAAACACAATATAAACTCTAAAGTCACCCTGCTAATTATATAATCCTAATAAATAACCCAAATAATTTTTTCTTATTACATCATTGCCCTTTCTTTCCCTTTGGGTTCGATGACTCTTATTTGGCCCAGTCACGAAGAGGCATGGCTGCATCATTCCCCCCTAGTTGAAAGGAACTCGACTCCGGCGAGTTGGCTTCAGTATATATGCGATATAAGTTTGGATCCACTCTTTCGAACTCTAGCTCAGAAATCAATGTGCTATCAGAGTATGGCATGTCCTTCCATTTAACTAGAAATTGGCGATAGGAACCCTTTCGAGTTTGAAAGCTTTTAGTCTTCAAAAACTTGCTCAATTTCATCCTCTTTCTTCCTTAGTAATTTCTTCATTACATCAACTACATCTTTTGCGACTTCTAAAGGGTCTCCATGATACTAAGTTAGCAACATCAAATATCGGAGAGATATTCAATGCCTTCGATAATTCTACCTTATATGCATTGCTCACATATTGCTTCAATATGCGGTAAGGACCCACTTTCTTGGACTGGAGTTTATTATAGGTTCCCAATGGAAACCTTTCCTTTCCGCAAATATACCATTATTAAGTCACCCTCCTTAAAAATCTTCTCTCTTCTATTCTCATTTGAGGCTTTTTGATACTTTTCATTGCTCTCCTCAATTTTCTTCTTGATTTGGGATTACAAATCTCGAATATGCTCAGCAAAAGCATTGGCATCATCCCTTATCTTGCCTGACATGGGTAATGGCACTAGGTCCAACACATGATTAGGTGTCCACCCATTAACAATCTCAAATGGTGATTTTCCTGTAGATCGATTTATTGAACTATTGTAAGCAAACTCAGCCTGAGGCAAAGCGATGTCCCATTGAGATATGTTATCACCAACAATACTCCTCAAGAGGTTACCAAGGTTCCTATTCACTACTTCGGTCTGCCTATCTGTTTGAGGATGATAGGCACTAGAAAATTGAAGTTTAGTTCCCATGCGCTTCCATAAAGTGCATCAAAAATGACTTAAAAATTTTATATCCCTATCAGATGTAATTGACTTAGGAACACCATGTAGCTTACTATATCTTTGAAAAAGAGATTCGCGATATGTGTAGCATCCATAATTCTTCTACAAGGAATAAAATGTGCCATTTTGGAAAATCGATTAACAACAACAAAAATAGAATCCATACATCGTATGGTACATGGAAGTCCAAGTACAAAGTCCATATAAATATCAACCCGTGGGGCATCTGAAACAGGAAGAGGAGTATAAAGACCTGTATTTTGTGCGTGACCTTTAGATACTTGGCAAGTTCAACATCGGGTCGCAAATCGATCAACATCTTGTCGCATACGTGGCCAAAAATATTTTTCTCCAATCATAGCCATAGTTTTGTCATTCCCAAAGTGTCCACCCAAGCCCCCACCATGAAGCTCCATGATTATCTTCTTCCTTAGAGAGCAATCAGGTATACATAACCGCACACCTTTAAATAAACAACTATCATGCACGAGATACTCACCCATAGGGTCTCTCCCATCAACACACCTTTCAAGGACCTTGCTGATAATTGGATCAACTTTATATTGATTTTTTATCACTTCAAACCCCAACACTTCCATAGACAAAGTTCAAAGTAACACTACCCTTCTACTTAAAGCATCAACTGCCTTATTTTGGGTTCCAGCCTTGTGCTTTAATAGGAAGGTGTATTATTGAAGGAAGGCTATCCACTTAACATGTCGCGCATTCAACTTTTTCTGGGAACTCAAATACCAGAGTGCTTCATGATCTGAGTATAGAACAAACTCTCTATGAATCAGGTAGTGCCTCTAGTAGCGGAAGGCTTGCACCACTGCATAAACTCGAGGTCATAAACCGAATACTTCTTACATGCATCATTCAATTTATCACTAAAGAAGGCCAATGGTCGTCCCTCTTGACTTAGAACTGCCCCTATGCCAATATTTGATGCATCAGTTTCAATCTCAAACACCTTAGAAAAATCTCGTAGGGCAAGTATTGGTGCTTGCATCAACTTTTGTTTAATTAGAATGAAGCTCCTTTCAACAGCGGGACTCCTTGAAAACGTTCCAGCCCTCATACAGTCAGTCACTAGTGCTATTAGAGTGTTGAAATTTCTGATAAATCAATGATAAAAGATCGTTAGGCCATGAAAAGAACGCACATCAGTTAGTGACTTTGGCACCGGCCACTCAGCTATAGCTTTCACTTTTTCTTGATCCACCTTAATTCCCTCAGATGAAACAACATACCCCAAAAATACGACATTGTTTGTCATAAATGAGCATTTTTTCAAATTCACAATAAATGATTCATTCCTTAGCACATCAAAAACTTGTTCCAAGTGGTTAAGATGATCATGTGGGTCAGCGCTAAAAACCAAGATATCATCAAAATAAACCACAACAAATTTGCTAATAAAAGGATGAAGTACCTCAGTCATTAGGCGCATGAATGTACTTGGTGCATTAAAAAGGGCAAATGGCATCACAAGCTACTCATATAGTCCATCTTGAGTTTTGAAGGTAGTTTTCCATTCATCTTCAGGATGAATCCGAATTTGATGGTACCCACTCTTTAAATCAATCTTTGAGAAAAACTTGGCTCCATTAAGTATATCTAACATATCATCTAGCCTAGGTATGCGAAATCGGTACTATTGTGATTTTGTTGATTGCCCAACTATCCACATACATCCTCCATGACCCATCTTTTTTTGGAGTTAGTAATGCAGGGACGACATATGGTGACATGCTTTCTCAAAGCAATCCCTTCTTAAGCAAAGCAATAACTTGTCTGTGCAACTCCTCATGTTCCATAGGGCACATTCAATAATGGGCCAAATTTGATAGGCTAGATCCGGGCACCAAGTCAATGTAATGCTAAATATTTCTTATTGGAGGAAGACCATCTTCAAGTATCAAGTCTTTATACTTATCAAGTAGATGTTCAAGAGACCTAAGAATTGCAATCAGTACAGAATTTTCTTTTGCAACCAATACATAAATCACATCCATATCCTTGTTATCCCCTTTTAATTTTTGAACATTAAGCAACTTTGAACCCTCCTCTTTAGTGGATTTAGGTTTAAGAAGTTGCTTCATAGGGTGGAGTACTACATTAATACCATCTTTAGCAAAAGAATAAGTGTTTGGCCTAGTTTTATGCACCATATCATGATCATAAAGCCCTGGTCTACCAAGTAATATGTGGCATGCATCCATAGGTGCTACATCACACTACACTTTATCTTTATAATTAGCACCAACGGAAAAAAAGATTAAACAACGAGTAAGAATTGGTACCTCACCTCTTTTCTTGAACCACTGGATGTGATATGGGCATGGGTGTTTATGTTCCTTCAATTGAAGTTTAGACATCACCTTTTAAGACCCAATGTTATCACTGCTCCCACCATCAATTAATACTGTATGCCTCTTGATGTGCAAATTGTTTGAAAAATATTATGTCGCAGCCACTTCTCTCCTTGTTAGGTATTGGGGTTGATAACATAGTTCGCTGGACAACTAAGACTTCACCCTTTTCATCTCCATACAAATCATCCACTTCACCTTTGAAAGGCCCAGTAAGACTGGCTCGTCCCAATATCACCTTGGCCTTCATAAGTGTATCCTTCATCAACTTTTTCTTCACAATTTTCTTCAGCCAAATTAACTTTGACAAAGAGTTGACGTGAGGGGCAATTGAATGTCATATGTCCAGGTTGTTGGCACTTGAAACACATTATTTGTGTATTATCACAAAGTGTTTTAGTATATTAATATATTGCCCAACTGAATACAATAGTAGTTAGTATTAAGTTAATTTATTTATTGATAGATTCTGAAATAGAGCCACCTCTTTGCGAAGTTTTTTGTATTCGATTTGGTCTGCTGATGATAAAGTGTGCTACCCAGCAGCAGAGCAGGGAAGCAAACTTAAGTTCCTTAAGTTTATAATAAACTATGGTTAACTCTTTCACATTGATGCCATCTTATTTATAGGGTGCATTTCCTAACATCTGGATGAATGATATGAGCTTAGTAATAGCTTTTACTAAATTTAGTAGCAAGATGTGCCACTCAAATTTACTCAAAGGACCCTTGCTAAAACAAACAAAGCAAAGAAAATGGTAGAGTGAGTTTAAAACAAATCAATGGCAATGTAAGAGATTCAATAGTAAAATAGAACCGATGATCTTACAGTTTCTTTCGCTGCTGCCATTGCAAGGAAACCGGCACCCATTTCCACTTCCTGCAACCCCACAACCACAATACCAACATCCGATGCCGAAGAACCAAGCCACGCTATGAGAGAATCATGAGAGGCTCTTTCCTGACCCACATTCCATGTCCCAACCAATATTTTAAGTGTTTCTCGTTTCGTATAAACAAGTTCCTTTAGAGCCAATTCGGTGCTCAATATATCATCAAGAGGCCCTGGAGATGTCATGTTCCAAGCACGAATGCCCCCATGACTAGCCAAAGTGAAGACAAAACCACCCCCAACCACCATCTTTGTAACCCCACAACTATGAGCCACCCAACCCCCCAATAGTTTACCCTCAAGATCCACTACCTGTATAGTACCATTAGCATAACCTATCCACAATCTCATTCCAAAAGCACAAAGGCATTGAACAGGAGAAGAGTGGTAGTGGAACTCTTGCAAACGATTGCCATTGCCATCCCATTGCACAAGTGCACCATTTGCACAGCCAGTCCAAATCATGCCATCCATGGATGCCACAATTGCCTCAGTTCTCCGACTGTCGTCACCAAATGTACCCTTAACAGCAACTCTGCGAACAGCATCAGCTGCTCCCATCAAAGCATTACGTGAGCGTTGGAAGAAACTGAGGGAGCCTTGGGTTTTTTCCTTCTTTGCGACTGATACAAACTTCACCTTCATCTCATCTTCTAAGGTAGACTCCTGTGCCGATGATATGTCTACACGAACCTCAGCCTGCCCATCCACTCCAAAAACTTTTAAAAGATCCCTTGTACGAGCATCCCTGCAATTGAGAGCCCCATTGAAGAATTCAAAAAAGATAAAACTGACAGAGAGAGAAAGAACATAAAAAATAACCCAATTATGGAACAGTTAAAAAAGAACAAAAAATGACAGAAAGTAGGCATGTTTCCCACAACCAGAGGACATACACATACATAAAAAACAACACATGTATACATATGTGAGCAAGTACTGAGAGAGAGAGGGAGAGAGAGTTATGTATAAAAGGGAACACATACCACAACGCAAAGGACAAGTACCCACCACTCCACACTTTTGCCCTAGAATAATCTGATACCAAGTATCTTATGAACATAAATCACATCCATATCTTTGTTATCCCCTTTTAATTTTTGAACATTAAGCAACTTTGAACCCTCCTCTTTAGTGGATTTAGGTTTAAGAAGTTGCTTCATAGGGTGGAGTACTACATTAATACCATCTTTAGCAAAAGAATAAGTGTTTGGCCTAGTTTTATGCACCATATCATGATCATAAAGCCCTGGTCTACCAAGTAATATGTGGCATGCATCCATAGGTGCTACATCACACTACACTTTATCTTTATAATTAGCACCAACGGAAAAAAAGATTAAACAACGAGTAAGAATTGGTACCTCACCTCCTTTCTTGAACCACTGGATGTGATATGGGCATGGGTGTTTATGTTCCTTCAATTGAAGTTTAGACATCACCTTTTAAGACCCAATGTTATCACTGCTGCCACCATCAATTAATACTGTATGCCTCTTGATGTGCAAATTGTTTGAAAAATATTATGTCGCAGCCACTTCTCATCCTTGTTAGGTATTGGGGTTGATAACATAGTTCACTGGACAACTAAGACTTCACCCTTTTCATCTCCATACAAATCATCCACTTCACCTTTGAAAGGCCCAGTAAGACTGGCTCGTCCCAATATCACCTTGGCCTTCATAAGTGTATCCTTCATCAACTTTTTCTTCACAATTTTCTTCAGCCAAATTAACTTTGACAAAGAGTTGACGTGAGGGGCAATTGAATGTCATATGTCCAGGTTGTTGGCACTTGAAACACATTATTTGTGTATTATCACAAAGTGTTTTAGTATATTAATATATTGCCCAACCCTCTCCCAACACCACCTCTCCCCATATTAGGGTCTGGCCTAGTTGGGAAATTATGAGAGGTTTGATTTCCACGCACTATAGGTGGTCTTTTAAAGGTTAAAAAACTTGCTGCCCTGTATTGAAGTAGAGCCTCTTGTCACGGAGCTATTTGTCCCAAGGCCCAAATTGATTGATTCATCTGCTTTGCGGGCCAAAGTATAGGCATCAGACATCTTATAGACATCTTTGAAGGCCAATTCATTCTGAATGCCTTGATTTAGCCCATTCAAGTAACGACTTATTTTTTGATCTTCATACTCATGTAAATTTGCCCTAGATGTCAAAATATAGAACTCTTCAGTATAGTCACTTACAGACTTTTCACCTTGCTTGAGGTTTTGACACCTTTGGTACAAAGTTCGGACATAATTTACTAGTAAAAATTTTTGGCGCATATTCGTCTTCATCTTTTCCCACGAATTAATCTTTTCCTTGCCTTGTCGAAGACGATCCTATTGCAAATCATCCTACCAAACCAATGCATGGCCAGAAAATTTTGTGGTTATTAATTTTACTTTTTTGTGATCTGCAATATCTTTCCAACAACTGAAGAATTCGTTCATTAAATTCGTTATTAACCTGGGCCACCAGAGGTTGGTTAGGAACAAGATGCATGCATCTTTCATCTCTGTTACCTTAAGTTCCAACGCCGGTCTCCGAATTCCTTCCATTCTGAAGTTGAGTGAACCTTTGCGTAAGCTCATCGACTTTCACAGCTACATGCATGAATTGGTCTACTCTCTCTGCCAGGGCTTGAACTAATCCAGTCAATACCTTTAATCCATCGAGGGGTGTCTCTTGTGAAGCCATCGGATACCAATTGGTACAGGGAGAGAATAAAACAAGAAAATTGACAATAAAAAAAAACAAGGTTGAGAAAAAAATACCATCTCTCAAAGGTTTGCAAGGGAATCCACCCCCAAAACAATTTCTTTCAATAGACCAATTTTTATTCAATTCATAGACTGTTTTACAATGAAAGGAGATGTCCCTTTAAATAGATTAAAATAAGATAACTAATAAAAAGCTTCTCTCTACACCTATCTTTATTTTCTCTCTCTCATATTCATGGGCTTTTAGATAGCCATGTTTTCCTCTCATGTTTTACCCAAACAAGACCTCTCAAGTTGGTTATTGTTTATAAAGATAACCTCTAAAGTCGCCCTACTAATTATCCCTGTGCACTCTCTAAACAAAAGAATAATTAAAATCATCCTAATAATTTCTCCTTATTACGTCATTGCCCTTTCTTTCCCTTTTGGGTTCTGCAACCCTTCTTTGGCCCAGTCACAAAGGGGCATGGCGGCATCAAACATAGAAGGTCATGCTGCCCTTTACCAACCTTCTGTTGATTGAATGGTGATCACACTTATTTACCATACCTTTTATTGGACCATATAGATCATAGTACATCTTCTTCTACTCTTAGGGATCTAGCCATATGTTTTCAGCTTTCACTTTCCAATATTAGGACCTCTACCACATGTTAACCAACAAAAATTCTTGCCATAAATTTCTAAAGGGAAATATTCACCGTTGGCGGCCTGTCACTGATGGTGCAGATGATCCGTAACTCTGCCAAGAGTTCAAAAAGGTCCCAAATGGAAGCTATGGATCTCTATAATGTCCTTAGTGGTCTGACTTTAAATATTAAGGTTGTACAAGCCTCATGTAGCATCGATCTTCTTTGGCCTTTTTTAAATACATGTTGTTAGATATCTTGTTGGGGTGTTTGGTGAGAGAGAGATAGGTGCAACTGCACCTGAAACACTACTTTCTATTAAAGTCTTTTTAGGAAAGATTTTATTATTATTTTTTTTTTTCTTTTTTTAGAATAAATCAACAGGAAAAGTTGGTCCCCTCTCCGTTTTCATTAATAAAACACCTAAAATACATCAAGTACAAAGGGATATATTTGATGAGGAATATTTGTGACATCAGGAAGCAAACTTCTAATTTCATGAGTTCAATTACCGAACGTTTCCCGTGTTTATTTTTTTTAGTGAACAGTGAAAACATCTTCAAGGAACGTTGAACCCCTAGTCGACTCTATAATAATAGATTATGGTTTTGAGACTTAGAATTTAAGTTAAAAAAAAAAGAAAACAAAAATTTATCGAAATAAAGATGAACTACTAATAGTCTACCTATAATTTTTAATTTACTGCAATGATCGTGAGTTAGAATAGTTGCAAATAGATAAAAATAGCAAAGGGCACATGCTTCACACATGTTTGGGTTATCGATTGTGCAATGTTATTATTTATATTTGTGTTCAAAAAAATATTTGACAAAAAAAATTTAAGGAATTTTTTGTTTTTTGAAATTTCTACATAAACTATATATATATATATAATGTCTTTCTGCTGTTGTCCTGCCCAAAAAATATATATATATTTTTTATGTACACAAAAAATAATTATCATTATTCATGGACCACAAAAAATTTAAAATAGAAGAAACAAATTTCATGATTATATTTCTGAGGTGATATTATAAATAAAAATATTTAAAGTTAAACATTTTACTTAAAATAATAATTTTGGCTTTTTTTGTAATTACTTTTGATTTTTAGGAACTTGGGTGGCAAAATTACTAATTATCCTATAGATATTGAAAATATAAATGACTATTGAATTTTTTATTAAAACTAGATTTAGTTACAGTTCATACTTGATTTTTATATGAATTAATGATATTACTTAAATAAAATTTCGACTAATAAATATGTTTTCAACTTAATTGGATAATCAATCCACTTTTCATATAAATTTAATTTTTAAAAAATAATATTAAAAAATAACATACCCTTTAAAAAATTATTAAAATAATAATAAGTCTAATGTGTTTAAATGCAAAGTTTGGTCCTTTTATGAAAAAAATCAAAAGTGACTTCATTGTTTATGTCACGTCTCAAAGCTAGGAAGGATAAGGATAGGTAAGGAAGGGAAAATTATGTCTGCTCTTGCATGTGTATGCTATGCTTCAACTCTCTCCTATAAAAGATTTTTTAGAAATATTTTATTAATATAATTTAACATCATCTTTTAAATAAATATTTTTCTAGAAGAAATCAAAATTTTATTTTTAATAAGCGGTATAATTCAATAGATTACCTATACAAGATGCTAGGAGGCCTTGAAAGTCACACCCAAACTGATCTAGTCAATGGACGTTCAAACTAACCTCACCGAAATTTTCCCCAAGTTTCGGTTTTCTCCCGGCGAGTTGCTCCTTTTATTTTGTTTGCTTTGGGAAGGCAGCGGTGTAAGCAGCGGTGTAAGCAGTGGTAAACCCTCGGGCCATATTTTTCTCATGTAAATTAATTAAAAATGTTCTCTCTCTAAGTTATAAAGAAAAAAGATTTTATTTATATATTAAAAAAAATTTATAGGCATACTTTTATTAATAAATAAATAGACATGCAAGACCACTAAATAATGAAATTAATTTCATCAATTCTTTAGCCATTTAGCTCTAAAGGAAGTAGCACTTTAACTTTATTTGTAGAAAATATTAAAAAAATATAGGTACTCTACTTGCGGAGTATTTCCTTAATGTACTCAATATTTATTGATATTTATTGCATGTATTTTGAAATAATTTTTTTTCTAGTAATAGAATTTTGGATCACTAGAAAGGATATAGATAAGTATCTAAGAAATTAGTAATAATGAATGCTGCATATGTGTGTTATTATGTCTCATTTGGATGATGGCATTATCCCCTATAATTAATAAATGATTTTATTGTGTGTTATCATGTCTCATGTGGATGATGGCATTATCCCCTATAATTAATAAATGATTTTATTGTATCAAAAATTCCTATTTGGGCAAGCTTTCTATGCTTTCCCTACAACATAAAACTTATATACTTCCCTTCATCGAACTGTCCATTCTGAATGAAGGGCTAAGATTGCCCCAATCACAATGTCATGTCTCTACATTATTTTATTTTTAATTTTTTTCGTCCAATCCTCTATTAAACTCGAACTAGCAAAAAATATAAAAATAATATTTCCAGTAAAATAAAATGACCAACATACCTTTGAAAATTTCATGGGGTATTTTGGTCATTATATTTTATCGAAAAAATATTTTTAATATTTTTTATAGGTGCACCCCAATGAGAAGATGGCATATACCAAATTTCATATTCGTACAATTTGTATAAAAGAAAAAACTAAAAATAAAATACTTTGGGACGTCGGATCTAAGATCAAACGATGAGTGGCTCTCTTGATCAAAATTGGACGGCTGGATGGCAAGGGAAGCATAGATCTTCTATGCTGAAGGGAAAGTATAGAAAACTTTCCCTTTCTATTTTATCTTTGATTAATTACCTAAAATATCCCTAGACAAAAAAGTTACTACAATATATGATAAGGGTATCAAATGTCCAAAAATATATATTACATTGAGAAAATACTCTATTTTACCCAATATTAAACAATACATCTTCCAAGGAAATCCCTATGGAAAATAAAAATTAGTAACCTGAAAGCTGATAACCTTGTTTGATAAACGGTGCTGCTGCTATTTTACTTGTTTGATAGTATGAAAGCAGGAAACTACCAGTTTTAACCATCCATTATGTATTGGGAAAAGTTTATATAAGGTTGTAACCTTAAAATGTAGAACTACAGATGCATATCAAACATCCATCGATAAAGATTCTTTTAATTTTGAAACGTCCTCTAATTGATCATATCGACATCGAGATGTATGACTATGAAAAAAAAAAAATTTTGAGTCCCAAAAATGGTGCATCTTATAACACATTATCTAGATCATCCATTTTCAAGATTTTTATATGTTTATAAATCTACTTGATTTTAATTATTTTTGGAGTTTAACATTTTATAATTAGAGTTCAAAATAGATTTTGAGATAATCTCAAATAATATTTTCATCAAAATTATATATCATGATAAAATTTGAAGGTGCGCCTTAAATGGATTGCTTAAGGTTGCAACCTTATGGAAACCACACCCTTATGTATTTAATTGATTGAGAGAGATAAAGGAGCTTTATTGATAATAATTGTGCCCCACACTATTACGAGTGGTGGTTCTTTTATTGTATATATAATGGTAATACAATAGCGTATTATACTTTCCTATCTTGTTAAATGCTATATACACTTTCCTATCTTGTTACATTATCCTCTTAAAAGGCAAGAGCTATAGTTCTACTATAACCTTTCCAAAAAATGGAATTTTTGAATTTTGGTTTTTTACTCCCCCTCAAATTCAACTGAGGAGACATTTGAAGCTCGAGTTTGAAGCAAAGATCTTGAAAAGCTTCTCATGGCATGGTGAATATATCATATACTTATTTGTGAGAGGAAATAAATCGAGTGATAAGTAATTCAGTAGTAACATTTTCACCCACAAAATGATAGTCTAACTCAATATGTTTTGTCCGTACATGAAAAACGTGATTAACTATCATGTAGATAACACTAATATTATCACAAAAAAATGTTTGTGGTTGAGGAAGAGGAAACCCAATATCATGAAGAATAAAAGAAAGCCATGTCAATTCTACAATAGTAGATGTCATAAATCGGTATTCCACTTCAGCACTTAAACAAGCCACAGTCGACTGTTTCTTAGTACTCCAAGATATGCAGTTGGAATCAAGATATGTACGGAAACCAGCGATTGAATAATGAGTGGTTGGACACCCAGCCCAATCTGCATCAGAAAAGACATATAACTCGAGGGAACTAGCAGATAAGATTCTTATACCACAAGATTATGCACCATTGAGATTGAAAATGTGCAATTGTAGGGGGATGCATAA